GAGAAAATATCACAAGATGTAAGTGTACCTAGAATAAGAAATTCTTACAACTTAAGATAATTAATTAAAAATGGGCGAGATATTTGAACACGTTTAAAAAGATTATGTGTAAATGGCAAATAAGCATGAAAAGATGCTCAACGTCATTAGTAATCAGGGAAATGCAAGGTAAAACCACCTATCGGAATGACCAACATGATAACACCAAGTGTTGGTGAGGATTTGGAGCAATCAGAACGCTTACACACTGCTGGTATGAATGTAAAATGGTAGAACCACTTCAGAAGAGGGTTTAGAGGTTGCTTAGAAAGTTAAATTTATGCTCACGAATGACTCAGTAAGTCTACTCCAATGTATTTATTTACTCAAAAGGAATGAGGATCTACATCCACATAAAGGCTTGCACACAAATGTTTTTAGTGGCTGTATCCGTAATACACCAAAGTATGAGAACATGGATGCCCGTTAGCAACAATGGATAAACAAACTGTAAGAAATAGTGATACAGTGAAACACTGCTCAATAAGAAAAAGAAATGGACAACTAATCACACAACATGGATGAATCTCAGACATTACGCTGAGTAAAGAAACCAGACACAAGAGTACCTATATAGGGCGGTTTATAAGCATTTCTAGAAAGGACCAGTCTAATTGGGGACAGAGCAGATGAGTGGTTGTCTGAATGGGAAACTGAATGGGAAACCAAATGGGAACGGGCTTAAAGAGAATTGTTTCAGATGATGGCAATGTCGTATACGACAAGTGATTGTGGTGGTGGGTGTGATGGTGATGTGGGTCTATACATTTGTTAAACCTCATAGAACTGTACAATTAAAATGGATATTTCACTGTACATAAATTATACCTTAGTAAAATAGACTTAAATGCAAGAAGTTGAGTGAGCTAAGGTGTTATAAAGTTGTTTATGAAGTGTTTTCTTCTCTCAAGATATTCTTCCCTTTTGGAAGGGAAGATATTCTCCCTGTGGAGGCAACTCCACAAATCAACTTTGTGGGTAAAAGAGCTGCGTGACACTGAACAAGTTAAGTTATTACTCTGAGCAAGTTTCTTTCTCAGTATAATGAGTGAATTAGGTTAGATAATTTCATCTGTTCATTCAATAAACATTTATTAAAGCCCACTATGGGGCAAGCACAATGCGAGGTTCTAGAGATATAAAGCTGAAAAAGAAACCATTGTGGGCCTTGGGGAGTTATAGTCTAGTGCAAGAAAGACAAGCTAACATGATTATGATATAGCTTATGTATACTTAGGGTATGAGGAGAATTCGTAAGAAAGCAGTCTTCCCTGATGATGCAACACCTGAGTTGGATTTTGAGGTACAAGTAAGAGTTCAGTAAAGAGGGAAGAGAAGGCATTCTGAGCAGAGGGTGCTGCATGGGCAAAGGGCCGAAGTCGAGAGACATACTATGTGTTTAAGGTACTTCAGGTGGCTCAGTAGGTCTGGAACATAGAATTTATCCTTCTAAGGTCATGGTGTGTCTTGATTGAAAAAAGGTTTAAAAAAAATCCCTCCAGTTTCAGCTGTGTGTAGACAGGAGTCCTGTACCACCTAATGACATCCATGTTGTAGTGGATCATATAAAATGTAAAATGACTGCACCTTCAGTTAGGATCCTGTGTCAAAGAGAATCTTTTGGCTCATGTAACACAACACTCCTGGGGCAGATTGGTACGATGTGACTGGCGGATCAACAAGGTCAAGAGAGCAGCTTTTTACATTTTCCATTTCTAGGCTGCAGCTCCAAACACTATATCCTTTCTTTTTTATACCCAGCTTTCCCAAAAGATTAAACCAAAGTCTTATAATCAAGTTTCATCAGTCTTCATTTTTTAGATTTTTGCACTGATCCTGAAGCAATCTCTGTGGCCAAGAGGGATGGTACATGGTGACTGGCTTGAGCAGGACCCAGAGGTCCTGGGGTGAAGTCAGCCTCATCTGAAGCATATGGCACCAGGGGTGGGGGTGGAAATCTCCAAATAAAAAGGGAGACTAGTAGCTACTTAGGAGGAATTATGTTTTAAGAAAAGGAGACCCCCAACAATTTTTAGAACAGGGGATACAAACACAAATGAACAAATTCTTCTTTCATCCTCCATACTTAGGACCAGTAATGAAAAGTGACTTCAGAATAAGGTGATGGGAGGGCGCCTGGGTGGCTCAGTGGGTTAAGCCTCTGCCTTCGGCTCGGGTCATGATCTCGAGGTCCTGGGATCGAGTCCCACATCGGGCTCTCTGCTCGGTGGGGAGCCTGCTTCCTCCTCTCTCTCTCTCTCTCTCTCTACCTGCCTCTCTGCGTACTTGTCATCTCTGTCAAGTAAATGAATAAATCTTAAAAAAAAAAAAAAGAGTAAGGTGATCGGAGAATCAACATGTATACAAAAAACTGTCTCTCAATATTCTAAGCACCCATAGTAGTGGATGAGCAGTTTTAGGAGAGCAAAGAGAAGGGTGTAATTAATTCTAACATACAGACTCCAGGGTGTCTTCACAAGAGAGATTTTTCAGTTGGGCCTTGAAATATGGAAGTCCTTCTGGCAGAGACAAGTGCGTGGCCACAGCTGACTGAAGATGAGCAAGTAACCTGGTGAAACTCAAGTACAGGATAATGGACCAGAGTAGGGGCCTAGGAATAGAAAGCCCCAGCTGTGGAGAATCTGTCATGCTATGCTACGGAGCCCGGACTTTATCCTTGAAGCAGTAGGGTGTTGTTGAATTTTTAAGCATGGAAGTGACAAAACCAAGTGTAGTTAGAAAGCTGTAGGAATAGATTAGACACTTCCTGAGAGAAGAAGGAAGGAGGTAAGTATAGAGGGAATAAAGGTAAGTTTTGAAGCAGAAGGCTGAGGGAGGTTCAAACCTAATGGTCTTTATTTTCTCTCTGAACTAGGAAAAGAAAGTACCTGCGGAGTGTAAGAGGGTGCTAGGCAGTTAAGACCAGCTGGAAATTTCAGTTAGCCAGAGCACTGCACTACCAAAACATTCTATCAGAAAGATTGTTCAATAAACTCTTCCATCATATAAAGTCATACATATTACATTAGTGGGTGAACTGTTTTCCAGAAGAGCCAAATACAATTTGTCTACTAGCCTGTTTTACGGTCAGTGGGAATGCTGCAGATAGAAAGATTACATGAAATCTTACATGGTTAACACGGGTCACTTGGGTTCTCGTGACCACTAGCAGAACATTTGTGGGGGTTTTGGAGGTTGGTAGGAGGTGGCGCAGGAAGACACAGGAGGAAGGAAGCCAAGAGGGGTAGCGTGAGGAGTGCGGTGAGAGGTGTGTGTGTGGGGGTGCGTGTGGGCGAGACAGCCCTAGTGCCCTTGATGCACTATTTTAACAAGCAATTAAGAGCAGCACCTGGCCTGGAGGGGTTTGTGATGGCAGCAAGATGTGTAGCAGCTTTGGGATTCAGATTCAAAACTGCTGGCTGGAGCCACCTGTTTCAAATGAAAGGATCTGCTCTGCCATGTTCCAGGTTTCATTTTTTTATAGTCACAGTCTCAAATTATCAAAAAAAGTCAGACAGTTGCAAATGAAATTATGCATTTTTCATATGTATCTTCTACCGCTTGGCCTTAAAATGTCGTATTTAAAATTAATTACCAACAACATTTGTTTGGTGTTTTGCAGTTAAAAAAAAAATCACTTTCAAATATATTTTCTCATTTAGTCTTACTCCACCTGGAAAGGTAAATAAGAACAAATGCAATAATTTCCTTTTGCCAGCCCCTTACACCCTCCACCCCCTCAGCTGTAAATAAGAGAGATTAAATTATCTAGGGACTCACTGCTAGGACAGAACTCTCAGTCTGGAGTCTTTCTACTTGACCACTACATTGGAGCTTTGAAAAAAGGTTTATGAATATTCTCTTAAAGAAGCTAACAATGGGTGTATCTGTACACAGTTGACCTTAATCATTTCAAACTCTAACAAGGAAGAAAGTCAAAGGCGTGTGCTCATCTTTGTGATGAAATGCATTTGCATATACCCAACGGCAAAGCGCATGATTATAGCTGAATCACTTTCAGAAGCAATGAAATGTGGCTTCTTAAGAATCATTCACTGAGTCATAAATTATTATTTTGTTTTCAATAAGTACCTGATGAATAAAGCATATAATAAAGATTTTCAAATGAAGAACTAATTCTATCAAACTCCATCATACTTGCAGTCTTGTGCTAACCCTCCGACATTACCTAATTTATATATACTCTTTAAATAAGAGTGTCAGAAAATACTTCTGGACAAAACTTAATATAATTCTAGGCATTCAGTAAGAGCATCAATGTCTTGATTTGAAGTTGTGTTGAAATGATCAGCATCTTGAATTTGGACTTTTTTTTTCACATTCTGTCATTCCAAATTACAGAAATGGTAGGTCTTTAGGAAGTGATAGAAAATAAAACCCTTCATTTACAGTAAAGACCAAAATAAGGCTGATGCCCGCCATAATGTCTTCAGTTCTAAAATAAATTTATATCATACCTACTGCTAGTTTCTCAGCTGCTCTGTCCTGGAAGTAAATCTTGTTAAACCAAGATTCAGCAAAAGCTGATATGCCTTTGATTTTTCATTCCCTTCATTGACTCCGTGGGTGTCCTCTTTGCGTACTTCCAAAGTAACAGACTCCGGCAGGGTCAAGTCTTCTAAGCAAGAGGTGGAAGGTTGAGAAGTCTGAAGGGATCACTCCATAATTTTCTTTTTTCAGAAAGTGATGAAGAAAATACTGTTCGATGGAGACAACTGTCTTTGACCTGTGCCACTGAGACCTTTCAGGGAGAAATAAAGTGGAAAGGGATCTAGAAGATCTCCGTGAGACAAAGTCGCTAAGAACACCAAAGTACATTTGAATTCCATTAACTTTTCCAAATCTTCCCAGTCTACTCCACCCCTGGCTCTGAGCGAAGAGCAATTTACAAGACAAAATGATACATTATCTAGAGACAAATTTACAAACTGACATCAGAAAACTGTCCCAGAGGCTATATTACCTCTTCAAGTTTATTACAGTATCTTTAGTTCTTATTGCATATATTGTTACATGCCTTTTACAAGTCAGGAGTATATATATAGTATGCTCAATTCAGCAGAAGTCATGTCTATTGCTTCTCTTTTGAAAACCAGCAGCATGCAGTGCAGTATTTGGTGTGCGGAGTTATTGTTTCAAAAAGTGAAAAACTACTTAGGTTTAACTGAAGAGGGAACATGATCTTTATTGGCTTATATGCAAAGTTTCATTTTGGTTTTATGCAGAGTTTGCATAGTTCATGATTATTTTCTAATGAAAAACTAGATGTGTTGTCAGTGACCTTGAAGAAGATCAGGTGACAGTAGCAAACAGAAAAATTTGAAGAAGAGGCATAACTTTTAAAGTAGAAAGGTCAGCAAGAACTGCCTGAAACAAAAGAACAAAAAGGATTATTAATATCAGTATTCTAATGGGCAAGGGAAGCCACAACAGAAACACCACTGCAATGTAAGCCTGGCATTGACCCCTCCTCTAAGTTCTTCATGTGTGTCCTAAATCTGTACAGAAACTATAACCTCCCTTCTCTTTTCTGAACGTATTAATGTCAGAACATGGGCAAAATGCTAAAACCTGCAGTAGAAAACAACCTGGACTTTTGTCTTGAGCCTTCTTCAAATATACAAGGTAGCAGGAGTTTATAAGAGGTCTAACATTTCAACTTGCTTCTATAAATAAACGTACATTATGAATCTTGGTCCCGTTATTCTAGTATACGGAGTATCTGGCTTCAGGAAATCATTTGGAGATGGAACTAATGTTTATTCAATTGCAAGATGCATAAACATCCTCTTCCCTTTAAACAAAGAATGTAGGCAGCTATTTTAGGGGTAATATTTAAATTTCTATGTGAGATAACAAATAGACTAATATGGTAAGTCACTATTTAATTGAACTATGTTTCAACTGAAAACATATTGAAAAGAAACCAGCTTTAAAGAATTAACTCATTATTAAAAATAACCAAAAAGGCTTGTATCTTTACTGTATCATCTGAATGCATGCTCTTTAACTCTCTCAAATAGTTTTTCTTTGTTCTAGCAGAATACATAATAAGAAAATAATAAGAAGATGCAACCAAAGACCCAATAGTCGCTACTAAAATTACTGGGTATCTTGTTTCCCATAATGGTTATAATGGTTTCCTGTAATAAGCTTGTTTGTGATTCCTTCACATGAAGATTGTCTTCAACTAAGGAATTTCGAATACTTACTATGACTTAGATTGGAACTTACAGGTTTTAACCGAGTTAAAAAATTAGGTTATGAGTAATGTGTGTCCTATGCATCTGAGACTAAAGGGCCTGAGCCTGGCAATCTCTCAGGAACTATTTCCATCCCCTCCGAGTAAACTTATCCTTACTTCAGCTGCGGCCAGTGATGTCACCTCCATCAGGTTCACTGCTCGGAAAGCAAACACAGCAGCTGCCAGCACTGGAAAAGAATGCACACTATTTCAACAGCCTGACACACTGCCTGCGATGCCCACACCCCACCAGGAGAGCTCAGAACGCGCGCTTTACATGACTGCATGCACGCATTCTGCACGAAGGCCTCGTGTGGACTGGAAGTTGTCTCTAGAGGACGGAGTGCCTGATGGCTAGATAGACCAAAGTCCACAGTTTTGGAAAAAAGGAAAATTCAGTGGTCTTAAAAGAGCCATTTTATAAATTGCTTCTTTCCTACCTATCACTTAAGTTGTAAGTTTTTAAATATAAATAAATAACAAATACAATATAATAAATACAGATAAATAAAGGTTTATTTTGATGCAGGTATTTCTTACTAATGCAACAGGATTCTGAAGTTATATGAAGACTGTATTTTTAAATTCATCAGATTATGTTTTGTATGTATGAAGGAGGTGTCCTGATAGACATGTATAATAAACCTTTTCTTAAAAAATATTTTTTTAGTATTTTGTTATAGTTACACTTTTATATTCAGCATTGCCTTTCATAGAGTGTCATAAATGGATAGTTCTGTGGGGAGAGCTGCTGTGGACTGATCCTGAAAGTTATATTAATGTTGGCTATAGGAAAAAGAAGTTGAAACTTTGAAAAAAAATCATAGGACACCTCACAGGTTAATAATGTACACGGAGTAGAAACCAATATTTGTCATATCCATCATATACATGTGACAACGTGTAATCCTTCTTACTACATAATCTGCCATAAAACCCCATGTGACGGAATGCATCATACTGAACAGCAAAAGGACCCAAGTAAGAGGTGGGTACCCTGACCCAGAGATGGTGCTGCCTCAAGATAACTCTTGATCTTCCCTTATTTCTTCTTTTTTATCACCAGTGGTGGTAGTTTCCTCTCTACCCAATAAGTCATTGAAATTTGGGAAATAAATGGTAAGGAATCTTCAAAATTATTGAAAGACTGGCTCCCAAGTATATGGCACAGCTAATGCAAATATATATATATATATATGTATACATATATATACACACACACACATATATATACATATATATGTATATTGCCAGATACATATATATACACACACACACATATATACATATGTATTTTAAGTACATTTTTACTATGGGAAGAATAATAATAATGCTAATGATAATTTTCACTCCAATTCTATGAGTTAAGTACCACTGCTAGCCCCATTATATTAAGATGGAAATGGAGGCCCAGTGAGTTGGGAGGACATGTTTGGAGTCCCACAGGTAGAAAATAATAGATTGAAAACTAACCCTGGCTCTGGAGCCTGCACATCTAACCATTCACTCTGATGACTTTAGTGAGATTGAAGGTAAGTAGTAATGACCCTTCCCTGATATGAAAATCTGGGTGCTCTCCTATGAATCGTCATCTCTGCTATCCTTCAGAATGGTTTTCCAGAGATGGCCTGAAGCACAATGCTATGGTGACCCTGGGCTCTGACAGGTAGGTGGCTGTGCCTGAGGAGTGGAAGTCAGCATCCAGACCTCTTAATTTCCCCAGACAGACACTGAGTGCAACCAGACCAGACTGGGAAACATAGGCATTTTTCTAGGGTACAACAGATTTTGGACAGTCTGACAAAAAAAACCCCAAAACCAAAACCAAAACAAAACAAAAAAAACCAACCAAAAAAAACAACAACATTGTAATTAGTTAGGAAAACTCTGAGGAAAAAAAAAGATGATAGCAGTAAAACAAAATTTAAAAGGTCAGATCAAGCTGGGATTATTTAATATGTAACAAGGGATACAAGAGATCAGGGACAAAGAATTTACCTTTTAACTGAAAAGGAGAAAACTTAAGCACTTTAAAGTCACTAAGCTTCTAAATTTATAAGAATATCAAAGAAAAGAATTTCTGTGGACCAGCAACGTCTTTATAGATTCCTAATATCTGGAATCATTTTGACAATGGGGACATTTGAGAAGCTAAGGACTGTGTGACTGTTACTTCCTTTTTTATGTGTGATTTAAGAGAGTTGGTGAAAGCTTGACAGGATGGCCACATTTTCTGCTGTAGCAGGAAAGAGTTTTACATAGCGGGAAATTGTTTTTCCAAAGGTAGATAAGAGGGAGGAAAAAAAGATCAGTTCACTAATTGACCTCAGCATCCTAAGTGCTTATGTGCTCATAACCTTTATTTATCTTGGTGTCACATCACAGAAGTTCCTTTGCGTCTGCTTCATGTTTGATTTGCCCAGCCCTTCCGCAGAACACATTTTTTTGTCAAGGAGTAAAAATCTCCACTTTGTAATATTCTCAGCTGCAATCATGCTTCACAGGAAACACAGAAACTCTCACATTTACCTGTAGTTTTTTTTTTTTTTTTAAGGATTTTATTTATTTATTTGATAGATCACAAGCAGGCAGAGAGGCAGGCAGAGAGAGAGGAGGAAGCAGGCTTCCTGCTGAGCAGAGAGCCCAATACGGGGCTCGATCCCAGGACTCCGAGATCATGTCCTGAGCCGAAGGCAGCGGCTTAACCCACTGAGCCACCCAGGCGTCCCTTACCTGTAGTTTTTTAAGCTATTCCCATCATTTTAATTCTAAGCAACTCTATCATAAGCATCAAGACACCTATGCTTTAAACTGTTTTTAAAAAGACCCAATTAATTTAAAATTAAAGCCAGTAATATTTACTAACAATTTCAAAAGACTATATAATGACTAACTTGAGCAAAAAAGGTGGCCCCAAAATATCCATTTCAAAAACATCTGAAATAATAAAAACTAATTTGGGTGCACCTACATGAAATGATCTAACCCGTGGCTCCTTATTTGGATTCATGGTAGGGGAGTCCCCACCAGTCTAGTTCCATTTCTAGATGTTCTATAATTCTTCTCTGTTGATTTAAAAAAAGACTCAGGGAAAGGGGATGGGTACAACAGTGCAGACTGCATTTCTCTACCTATCAGCAGTAACATTTTTATTAATGTATTAAGTCACAGCAGAGTACTAGTTTAGAGCAAATGCGTTATTCAACATTTCATTTATTTCTCTCTCACTTGAGAATTTGCTGGGGAGTGGGGTGTGATAAGTCACAAAGTGAGAAAATTTAAACTGAAAGAGGTCTTGAAGTTCTTCCAATTCAACATTTCTTTCCCAGTAGAAAAGCTCTTAACTTTTGGGTGACAGTTAAAAGCCCATTCTAGTTTTAAAAAATCCTAATATTAGAAGGTACTTTCTTATACTGAACCCCCTTCTTTAACATGCTCTAATATCTTTTTGCAATAATATAAAAAGCTATACACAACACTCTTCAAAATTTATGACATACCCAGAAGAGGTTTATTTGCTAGAAAGTCTAAAATCCTGTTGCCTGAGAAATGGTAGCAGAAAACAAGGCTTCTTAGCTTGGAGAGTAGAAGCTTTGGGGAAAGGCAAGAGTAGAAAAAACATGATGATGACCACGGTTTAACAGGAGTACATTATAACAAGGTATATTGTCCAGAAGTGAAATGGGCTATGTTGGTAGACAAGGACTCCAACACTGACGAGTACAAGCAGAGGATGAGAACTGCCTATCAGAAACATCTAAAAGGAGTCATACCTGAGGACCTCTAGGATTCCTCTACCTCTAGATTATAAGTATCACTGCCATTCAGCCAAGAGAAATGAGGGCAGACCCTTCTTTCCTAAGTCGTATCTGTGTGGGCTTAAAACCCAATTGAGATAGAAGGATAGTAGGAGTTATTAACATCAGTGAGTGGTATCTGTGATTATACCAAGGGTGACATTGATCTTCCTGGCACTTTATTATTACTGTAATTTTCCTTTTTAAAATGCCATACAATTATTCTAGACCTCTCAGCATTCAAGAATATGTTAATATGGTACCTAAAGAATCTTCTGCAAGAAAAGGGTCTTCTTTAATTAAGCACTATTTCCACAAACCCAGAGAGGTGTCTTTACAATGCTATCAGTATAAGGTAAGAAAATGAAGGTCTCACACAGGTTATATAATTTATTCAATATTACACAACTGGAAAAGGTTGGACCCAGCACTCTGCCAACTTTTCTACTCTCCATCCATTATTGTGAAAACCTTGTGCTATTTATCTGAACTTCCTGATAATCCCAATGATTAAAAATAACTGAGCCTATTTTGGATAAGAGAAACAAAGTAATATAATTAACAAGAAATCTGTGCCCTATGTATTATCATACAGTTGTCTTGTGTGTATATCTATTGTAAGAAGTACTTAATTATAACTAAAAGATAAATCTGTGGCTTCCTAGAAAAAAAAAAAAATATTTTTTGGCTTAAGAGAATACCTAAGAGGGGAAACTCAACCACCAGGAGTCAGAGACTGTTAGCAAAAAGGAAAAGGTTGGGGTGCCTGGGTGGCTCAGTGGGTTAAAGCCTCTGCCTTAGGCTCGAGTCATGGTCCCGGGGTCCTGGGGGATCGAGCCCCAAGTCGGGCTCCCTGCTTGGTGGTGAGCCTGCTTCCCCCCCTCCCCCTGCCTTCCTCTCTGCTTACTTGTGATCTCTGTCTGTCAAATAAATAAATAAATAAAAAATCTTTAAAAAAAAAAAAAAAGAAGGAAAATGTCTTGAGTTCAGTAGAAGCTGAAGTCCAGGAGAGCTGAGATTTCCACTCTGTAGGGAGGCTCCACGTCAGTGTGGATTTTAGGCAGTGGTTGGGAAGGGGCACAGCCCAGACGCAGAGATATCAGGGAAGCCAGGAACAGAAATGGAGTATACAACCTGCCGCATGGACGTCACAGAGGTATAGAAAGTTCTGGCTCAACTAGAAATGAGGGAAGAGAAATGGACTTTCCTGGGAGCAAAGAAAGAAAGACAAGGAACACACTAGTGTTGGGAAGGTACAGAGAAGTATCTCGATCTTAGAACTTCAGTACTTGTTTTCTAAGGCAGACAAAGCTATTAAATATTTATGAATTAGAAATGACAGATAACTATAGACTCAAACTGCAGTTACAGATGATGAAAGTTAGAAAGGAAAAGGGCTTTATTATAGAAACATGTGTTTTACAAACAAGCACTTATTACCAGCAAGAATTTCCAGAGAGTTGTATCCTAGGATTCTATCCCACAAAAGCAGGAGTTGATCTGTAGCTAAGTATCCAGAGAAAGCTCGAACCATCCACTTAAAGGATATGCGAAGTCTGTAAGCAAAGAAAAAAGAAAATGCTTCTTAACAGGGGCTTTTCTTCTTACAAAAAGGCAGTATCAGAAGAGCCAACCAATTCTACTGTTCAGGTAACTTCTCTGTAAGGCTTAGAAATCACCTGATTTTAAATTTCACACGCCCTCTTAAAAGCTGCAGAAGGGTAATGGTGAGAAACCATGAGTCTTCAAATTATTGGTCTCGACATATTAAGAGGAAAAATTTGACCTGCTGTGTTATATAGTTCAGCTTTCAGAAAACTCACTTCTATGTTCTGTTTTTAGGGTCTGAACTCATTAGGTATCAATGAGGTGGTCTTAAGAGTCAATAGTTCTTAACAGTTGGAATCATGATTATTTGAATTTTTATTCAAAATGCTTGAACAAGTGCTTGCTAGCTGTACGCTTTTCCAATTCAATGCATTATATGCCTATATTTTTTAGTCAAACGGCTACATAGTATGAATAAAATAAAACAGGCAGGAGTCTTTGAAGATAAAGAAAAATAGTTTTAAAGCTATAAAGGACCTTAAAACTAGATTTCTGACTTCAAACCCTCCATTTTAATGGGAGGTTATCAGAACTCTGAAAGGTCAACCAGAAAATTCAACTGATTTTGCAAAAAACGACAAACAAACCCCCTGCCAAAACCCAAGAGATATGGGATCTCATTACTTATAAGTAGGTTATGTTATAATAATAATTTCTCTCTGCAATCAGGAAATGAACTCTGTACTATCTATTAGCATCTAAACATCACTCGATTGCCCCTGAGAGGTGCTAGGCAAACTCTTTGCTGGAGCTGTTACAATATTACATAGGTAAATATCTGTGCTATTTTCTTAAAGCAAGAGAACGGGACCTGGAGATTGCCATTGTTAATGTGGTATTAATTCTCTTAAGACCGAAAAATACCCCTAGGTTTTCAGAAATTCCTCAAGACTAGATAACTATTATTCTAATATAACAAAGTACATGCAGAGAGTAATATTGACAAATTAAACTTTTTGGTTGGTTTTAAGAGTATCTGTTTATAAATGCTGAAGAAAGTTTTGGCTACCAGATATTTTAAATTTAAAAAGATCATTTGACTTTTAAGTCTAAGTTATTAATGTCATCCAGTTTCATTTTACTGGATCCCTCATGGCGTGTTATTAGAACAACAGCACCACACACTGTGCTCCACCCATATATAATGCAGAATTAGTTTCTTGGAAATAGTTTATTGAGGTATAATTTATAGGGAGTAAAATTTACCCTTATTAAGGCACAGTTCTATGAGTTAAGAACCAAATGGAAACTTTACAACTGAAAAATACAATAACAAAAACAAAACAAAAAACAACCTTCACTGGATAGATCCAATAGCAAAATGGTAATGACAGAGAAAAGAAACATTGAATTTGAATATAGATCAACAGAAAGTATCTAATTAGAAGAGTAAAATGGATTGAAAATAAAATGAGTAGAGTTTCAGGGACCTCTGGAATGAGACCACAAGTTTCAACATTTGTATCACTGGAATCCTAGAAGAAAAGGAAAGTAAGTATGGTGCAGGAAAAAATATTTACAGATACATCCTAATTAAACTGCTGAGAACTAAAGACAAAGAGAAAAAACATTTTTCCTGAAATGTTTGGCAGAATTTACCAGTAAAGCCATCCAGGGAGTTTATTTGAAGGTAGAATGTGATTAATTAAAAAATGTATAGTGTGAGCCCTAAGACATTGTTATGGACTAAAAGTTTCCCGTCATTCCACCAGCCCCCCATTCATGTTGAAACCTACCCCCAGGGTGCCTGGGTGGCTCAATTTGTTGAGTGACCGCCTTCAGCTCAGGGCATGATCCTGGAGTCTGCTGATAAGTCCCGCATGGGGATCCCTGCTGGGGGGGGTCTGCTTCTCCCTCAGACCTTCCCCCTCTCATGCTCTCTCTCTCTCATTCTCTCTCTCTCTCTCAAATAAAAAAAAACAACAACAACAACAAAAAAAAAACCCAAACCAAGACCTACCCCCCCAGTGTCATGGGGAGTAGTCAAAGAGGGAGGGTCTTTGGGTGGTAAGTGAAATGAGATAGTTAGAGAATGAAGCATTCAGGGTTGGGCTTAGTGCCTTCATAAGAATCATGACAGAGTTAAGTTTCTCTTCTCTGCTCTCCACCATGTAAGAATACAATAAGAAGTTGGCAGTCTGCAGCCTAGAAGACTAGGCTCAGTAGAACTAGAACTCAACCATGCTCTATCACCCTGATCTTAGACTTTCAGTTTTCAGAACTGTGGGAACTGTTTCAGTAGTTTATAAGCTACACAGTTTATGGTAATTTGTTATAGCAGACTGAATGAACTAAGACAGGCATCTATCAAAACAATGGTTTAAGAAAGGTATAAATAATAATCCAATAGTAGAGATAAAATGGAATAAAAAATACTCGGTTCAAAAGCAGGCAGGAAAAGAGGAAAAATAGAATAAAAAAGACAAATAGGGGCGCCTGGGTGGTTCAGTTGGCTAAGTGTCTGCCTTCAGCTCAGGTCATGATCTCAGGGCCCTGGGAACGAACTTGCTGAACTGGGCTCTCTACTCAGTGCGGAGCCTGCTTCTCCCTTTCCCTCTTCTTGCCACTCCCCCTGCTTGTTCCCTCTCACTCTCTGTGTTAGTAAATAAGTACAATCTTTCAAAAAACAAATAGAAAATGTCTACCAAGATAGTAGATGATATTAATTGCTATTACTTTAATCAATAAAATCAATTATAAATATAAATGGAATAAACACAACAATTAAAAAGACAAATTGCTGTACTGGAAGGCCCAGCTATACTTTTGACAAGAAAGCCACTTAGAAAATAAAGAAATCGATAATCAATACACTAAAACCAAAAGGACATATGAATTATAATTGAAAGAAAGCTGGGATGGCTATATCAAATGCAGTAGATTTATTACCAGGAATAAAAACATTAAATAATGATAAAGGGACCAGTTCTTCTAAAAACAGAGCTTCTAATGCATGAAGTAAAAACATATATAGCAATGAAGGAAGAAATAGACACACTCCCATTAATAACTGGAGACATTTCTTTCTCAATAATTAATAGAGAAAGTAGACAGAAAATTAATAAGTCTATAGAAGGCTTCAATATTATCAAAAACTTGACTATGTTGCCATTTACAGAACATTCTGCTGAATACCAGTAGAATATGAATTCTTTTTAAGCGTACTTGGAATAGTCACCAAGACAGAACATATTCTGGGCCATAAAACAAACTTCAGCACATTTAAAAAATTGAAATCTCATGAAGCATGTCATCTAATTACAACATAATTAAAATAGAAATCAATAATAGAAAGGTTTCATAACTTTCCAAATATTTGGAAATTAGACAACACACTTCTATATAACCCATGATCAAAGAGAAAGTCACAAGCGAAATTTAGAAACACTTCAAGGGGCGCCTGGGTGGCTCAGTCAGTTAAGTACCTGACTCTTGATTTTGGCTCAGGTCATGATCTCAGGGTTGTGAGATGGAGCCCTGCAACAGGCTCTGTGCTGGGTGGGGGTGTGGGGGGAGTCTGCTTGAAATTCTCTTTCTCTCTCTGCCCACTCCCTATGCCCCTCCCACACACGTTCTCTTTCTCTTGAAAGAAAGGAAGGAAGCAAGGAAGGAAGGAAGGAAGGAAGAAAGAAAAAGAAAGAAAGGAAAAAACATTGTGAATTGAATTAAAATGAAAACACAACATATCAAAATTTGCTGCGTGGAGGTAATGTGGTGCTTTGAAGGCAATTTATAATAATATTCCTTATATTAGAAAAGAAGAAAGGTCTCAAACTAACGATCTTTAAACTTAAACAAGAAAACAAGAGCAAAATAAACCTAAGGCAAACATAAGGAAGGAAATAATAAATATAAAAGCATAAATCAGTGAAATTGAAGACAGAAGAACAATAGAGAAAATCAAAGAAAATCAAAGAAAACCAAAACATGTTTCTTTCAAAGAAGAATAAAATTAATAAAGCTCTAGCCAAACAAGAAAAAAGAGAGAAGATATAAATATCAATCTCAAGAATGAGAGAGGTGTTGTCACTGTGATTCTCTAGATATTAAAAGATTAATTAAGAATATTTAGGGAATATTATGAATAACTTTATGTCCATAAATATAACTTAGATTATATGAACAAAGTACTAAAGCTTATTCAAGAAGAAACAGATAACCTCAACAGTCTTATTATCTATTAAAGAAATTAAATTCTAATTAAAAACCTTCAACAGCATCAGTTTTAATTCATAAAAGCCTATGAGAAATTGATTTCTAGCTTGACAATTACATTTTTACGCTTTCTTCTACATAAGAATTTTAATGTTTGCTGTAAGTCATTGAAATAAATGTGTTCCGTTTTCATGATTAAAGAGTATAAATTGGCCAAAAAAAAAAAAATCAGGACTTTAGTTTTAAGCAGTAAACTAAATGTCTTCATCCTAGTAAAGCTTCATTATATACAAATATCCATTGCACAAGAGTAAAACAGAAGCCAATTTACTACAAGTTTAAGAAAAAAAGACTTATGTGCAATATAAAATATTTCTGCCACATTCTTGTTTTTATCATCTTAATCATTAACAGAATCTTGTTTTTTAATGGCTACAAAGGAAAGAGTATAATCTCAGTATTATCAATGGATGAAATGAGGTATTGTTTTATAAAAGGTATTTCTAAGATCTAAGATGTCTGACATTCAAGATCTAAGATGTGCTTTAGAGAAAGTATACATATATGTATAAAATTTTATTTTATTTACATATATATACACACATACATATGTATGTATGTATAAAATCCTTGACTATTGAAACAACCTCATGAGGTAGGAATTCTCTTGATTTTAAAGATGAGGAAGTTGAATTATCTTGATTTAAAGAAAGAAATTCAGACTTAGATGAATTAAATAACTTCATCAGGATTATACGGCTTAGTAGATAGAATTCAAGTCCTGGCCTGTCTTTTAAACTCACCCACTCATCCATCCCTCCATCCATCCATCCATCCACCCAATCCATCCATCCACTTGATGTGGATTCAAGTATGGAGAAATCAATACTAAACTACTGCATTTCCTATTAACTACATTTGTGATCTCAAAGAGTTAATGCTACTTTCAAATATGCCCTGCCAATAGGGGAAACTGGTTTCACAGAGGGGAAGACAGTGACAAAACATTAATAAATCATTTAGAAACTTCTGTTGCCTTAGACATTGTTATTTTAAACAAAGAGAAGGGACCAATAATATTGAAGCCCAGAGGTACCGTACCTACATGTTCACTGATAACTCATACTGAGATAAACGAACAAATATTCAAACTTCTGGAACAAGATAATCACAGTGTACAATCATTACTAGGTAACTGATACAGTTTCCTTGAACAAAAAAGCAAACTTTAACCTATATAGCTTTCATTAAGTTGTTCTCTGGTAAACTTAGCCTAAAATGACTTAATTTTAGTATTATCACATTTCTTACATAGTATTTGTGTTCAAAACTTTTTTCTCAATTTTGGCAATACCTTTCCTTTTGAATAGAAATCAGCTCATTTTGGTGATCCTTCTACCAGGCACAAAAATCCCAGCAAATAAGAATTCATTAGGATTTTGGAAGTTCTTCTGAGAATTTTTGGCACAACATAGAGCTACACTCTATTACTTGATAATCTGTGTTTTATTGGAGAAATTGTTAGTTTAATTTCCCTAAAGAATTGTTGTATCTTTACATTGTATGCTTTCAAGTGATATAATAGTACCTTCTGATGTCAATCTATTCTTTAATTAGGAGAGAAAGGCACTCACGGTTGAGCCCCAATTTCTCGTAGATGATAGAAGAGCTGAGGGAGATAGGTCTGAAGAAGAGTTTCAAACAGCAAACAGAGGGACACAATACCCTGGATATAATAAGAAAACACAAGAGAAATACATATTTTACCATTTAAAAATTAACTCTGACAATAAATTATTCAAATAGAAACGAGGAAAAAATTATCAACATATTTTTATATTGTCGAAAAGTAAAAAACAGGAAATGCTCTAATGATCTCCAATACTTTGTTTAAAGATACATTTTTCCCCCTCTTACTATTATAGGTATGCTAAGGAGCCTCCTTTTTAACACAATAGGATCCCCATATAACCTGGTGTATAATATTCAGAGAGTCCAAGGAAAACATCATTTTATAGAAAACCTGCTACTCTGTAAGCCCTGTATTATCACTTATGTCCAGCAAACCAGTTTTTTCTGGATACATTCCAGTTTCCAGGTATTTCTTTGTATTATGCCCACACCCTTTACTCTCTCCCTCCATAAGTCCCTTCCCTTTCAGCTGCCTCACCCATCCAGAAAAATATTTCCTGCTTTTTTTCACTCTTTCTTTGAAATCTATTCTCAGGGGAAGACTGACCAATGACTGTTTGAAACTTGCACCAGGAAGTTATCAAACAAGAATGCCTGATTACCTTAGTATAAAGCTCTATCTTTCTATCTATATATAAAAATCTACTTTTTATAAGGGCATCATTTGTAGAGGACAAAAAGTAACCAATTGAAGCAGATGGTTTTTCAAGTGCGTTTATTACTTGACGACTCTGAATAAAGTCTTTCTTGTACCTCAGCATTCCTCAGGGATCTTTGTGAGGAAGTCTGAATCCTCTTTGTGAGTTTCTAAGGAAAAAAAGGGCTGGCATGGTTCCAAATAGTTCAGTCTGGCTACAAGCCAGAAAAGGAGCTGACCGCCTGTAAGTCTATTCCATTGAATAAAGAAAGGGCAAGATGCAGGGCTGGCCCAACCAATTCACTGAAAAAGGACACCTCAGGGTCAGCATGGAGGTAGAGGAGGAGTATACAGGGTTGCTGGATGTCAAGCTTCAGTGCTCTGAACAAGGAAAACACTGTGGGTGTATCCTGGGCAGCCAGTTAAAAAATTTTTTTTAACTCTAAAGCATAAAATGATACAGATATGGGAGTAAGAAATCTGAGACTAAAAATAAGGTTATTAGAAAACAGAATTATTTATATATTTCTGATTACACTAGAAATTAATATAAGATAAGCACTAACTCAAGTTGTTTCAGAGAACTGGAAACCCCCCAAAGATAATGGGTGGTGCTTCATTTGTTCATTGGAGAAACCCTGGATTTCTGTTACTTGTCAACTTTTACCAGCAATGTAGGAGAGCAAAGGTGGAGACAGAGGGAGGTGGACTAGGAATACACAGGGTTAAACTGTGGGAGATAAAGAAAAGTGATTTAATTTAATAGTAGTGACAGAGTATTCTCTTCAGGGAAATCTGGTAGCCCTGATACATTCCCATTTAGTGTTTCTTCTGGAGAGTCAGCTGAGTTCACCACCGGTGGACCAGAGCAGGCCCAAAGGTGAAAAAGTATAATGAAAGTAAAATACTCTTTTTATTCAGGCTCATGGGTGGAAAAAAAGATGTGATAGAGGACCAGCCAACATAAAATAGATAAAAATGTTTGACTCCCGGGGTGCCTGAGTGGCTCAATGGGTTCAGGCCTCTGCCTTCAGCTCAGGTCATGATCCCAGGGTCCTGGGATTGAGCTCCGCATCGGGCTCTCTGCTTAGTGGGGAGCCTGCTTCCCTCTCTCTCTCTGCCTGCCTCTCTGCCTACTTGTGAACTTTGTCTGTCAAGTAAATAAATAAAATCTTAAGAAAAAAAAAAGTTCGACTCCCAGTAGGTTCCTCTTAGAGGTCAACGGAGCTATCTACTGAACACAAAGAAATTATCTAGTATGGTAACTGATAATTAGTCAAATATGAAATTGAAAAATAAGTGACAAATAAATGTTGGATTTTCATTAATAGATGACAATCACAACAATAGTAATAAAAACAGCAGTCATTTATTTACTGAACAGCCACCATGAGCCAAGTGCTACCCTGGCAGTCTATAGCCCTAGAGAAACATACTAATCTCATTTCCTAGATGAGGACATCAGCGTTCAAAGAGGGTAGGCATCCTTGCCAAAGTGAATAATAAAGACATTTTTATATGTTTTCTCAGTTAACAGACAAAAGACAATGTAAGTGCAATTGATAAACGCCCTTTTCCCTCCTAATTATCACCAAAAATATTTAAATATCAATTTCTTCTTCGCTTTAATTTCACTTATTTTGTAGAAATATGCTGCTTGACATTACAAATTAAAATTTGCTGCTTTACAATTTAACTGAGTAGGAGACTTTTCCTTAAGGAAAGGAAACAGATTAGAGTCAAATTTGATCCAATTTTTATGAACTTACAGAAGGATGAGAAGAGATGGAATGGAGTCTGAAGAAAAAACGCACATACATCTCACGGAATATCTGATACAATTTGGAAGGTTCATGGTAGAGAAAACAAAGTGGTGCAACTGAAAGAATAAAGAAATTAATCAATAACACCGCAGAACTATTACATTTTGAGAAAATAAGTTAATGAAACATGAAAGAATAAATATTTTACAGTAATATTCATTCAAAGACAAGTTTAAAATCACATATATTGTTTTTCCATGTTGAAAAGGAAATAAATACACATGTAAAAAGTTCAGTCCTTAAAAATGATAAAGAAAGGGGTAATTAAAAACTACCATAAACCCAACTTAATGGAATGACACAGTGGAATTACATATAGAGGGATATTAAAGTTCAAAGTAACTTTAAAAGACTATGTAAAGTCAAGTCTCTCTTTTTTAAACTGAAATAGTAAGAAAGTGAGACGGAGGTCATTCATTTTCACTTTGTTCCACAAAGGATGCAGAAGGTTTTTCAAAATTTTTTATTTTGGAAGTGAGGTAAGTAAAATATAAGATGATTTATGGATCCTGGATATCAACCTTTTGTCTGTACTGTCATTTGCAAATATCTTCTCCCATTCTGTGGGTTGCCTCTTTGTTTTCTTGACTGTTTCCTTTGCTGTGCAGAAGCTTTTGATTTTGATGAAGTCCCAAAAGTTTATTTTCGCTTTTGTTTCCTTTGCCTTTGGAGACGTATCTTGAAAGAAGTTGCTGTGGCTGATATCGAAGGGGTTACTGCCTACGTTCTCCTCTAGGATTCTGATGGATTCCTGCCTCACAGTGAGGCCTTTTATCCATTTTGAGTTTATCTTTGTGTACGGTGTAAGAGAATGGTCGAGTTTCATTCTCTTACATATAGCTGTCCAGTTTTCCCAGCACCATTTATTGAAGAGACTGTCTTTTTTCCACTGTATATTTTTTCCTGTTTTGTCAAAGATTATTTGACCGTAGAGTTGAGGGTCCATATCTGGGCTTTCTACTCTGTTCCACTGGTCTATGTGTCTGTTTTTATGCCAGTACCACACTGTCTTGGTGATCACAGCTTTGTAGTAAAGCTTGAAATCAGGTAGTGATTTCAAGGTAGTGATGCCGCCAGTTTTATTTTTGTTTTTCAACATTTCCTTAGCGATTCGGGGTCTCTTCTGGTTCCATACAAATTTTTGGATTATTTGCTCCAGCTCTTTGAAAAATACCGGTGGAATTTTTATCGGAATGGCATTAAAAGTATAGATTGCTCTAGGCAGTATAGACATTTTAACAACGTTTATTCTTCCGATCCAAGAGCATGGAATGGTCTTCCATCTTTTTGTGTCTTCTTCAATTTCTTTCATGAGTGTTCTGTAGTTCCTCGAGTACAGTTCCTTTACCTCTTTGGTTAGGTTTATTCCCAGGTATCTTATGGTTCTTGGTGCTATAGTAAATGGAATCGATTCTCTAATTTCCCTTTCTGTATTTTCATTGTTAGTGTATAAGAAAGCCACTGATTTCTGTACATTGACTTTGTATCCTGCCACGTTACTGAATTACTGTATGAGTTCTAGTAGTTTGGGGGTGGAGTCTTTTGGGTTTTCCATATAAAGAATCATCCAGGATCTATAAAGAACTCCTCAAACTCAACACACACAAAACAGATAATCATATCAAAAAATGGGCAGAAGATATGAACAGACACTTCTCCAATGAAGACATACAAATGGCTATCAGACACATGAAAAAATGTTCATCATCACTAGCCATCAGGGAGATTCAAATTAAAACCACATTGAGATATCACCTTACACCAGCTAGAATGGCCAAAATTAGCAAGATAGGTAACAACATGTGTTGGAGGGGATGTGGAGAAAGGGGAACGCTCTTCCACTGCTGATGGGAGTACAAGTTGGTGCAGCCACTTTGGAGAACAGTGTGGAGATTCCTCAAGAAATTAAAAATAGAACTTCCCTATGACCCTGTCATTGCACTACTGGGTATTTACCCCAAAGATAGAGATGTAGTGAAAAGAAGGGCCATCTGTACCCCCAATGTTTATAGCAGCAATGGCCACGGTCGCCAAACTGTGGAAAGAACCAAGATGCCCTTCAACGGACGGATGGATAAGGAAGATGTGGTCCATATACACTATGGAGTATTATGCCTCCATCAGAAAGGATGAATACCCAACTTTTGTAGCGACATGGATGGGACTGGAAGAGATTTGCTGAGTGAAATAAGTCAAGCAGAGAGAGTCAATTATCATATGGTTTCACTTATTTGTGGAGCATAACAAATAACATGGAGGACAAGGGGAGTTAGAGAGGAGAAGGGAGTTGGGGGAAATTGGAAGGGGAGGTGAACAATGAGAGACTATGGACTCTGAAAAACAATCTGAGGGGTTTGAAGCGGCGGCGGGTGGGAGGTTGGGGGAACCAGGTGGTGGGTATTAGAGAGGGCACGGATTGCATGGAGCACTGGGTGTGGTGCAAAAACAAGGAATACTGTTATGCTGAAAATAAAAAAAAATTTAAAAAAGATGATTTATGACTAGCATTTAGAATCACGGTCTTCAACTAATTTAATTAGAAAATAAAAATTTTGATTAACAGTTTAGAATAACTGGTCCTTGAGACTGGTGTTATCTCAACATTTGTACAAAGAAGTTTTTATAGACTTAAAATAAAACAACTCTCAGGCAGAGGATTTATTTCTCTAATGAATGTTGAATTAAGTTTTCCTTTGCACCCAATTCTTGGCAATTAAACACAGGTGAGCCAACTCAATCAGACATCCCCAAACTGAATGTCAAAAGTCCTCATCTCAGATGCTGATGTGACAACATGATTATTTTGGACTGACATGGTCATGCTTTTCATCTTTTCAAACCTTGAGAATTTTATGTAGCATGAACACATCCATAATGCAGATACATAAAACTGCATTACCTAAATATTAATTTTAAAACACAATGACTTACTGGGTAATTTTAGCTATGACATAAAATGGACAATTTAGAAATTCAGGCTCCATAATCCATCAATACCGTCCCTGGCAGTAGGCAGTTAAATTATCAGGGAAAGCAATAAGCCAACTCAACTCACTTCTTTTTGAAAAACCGAAAGGAAAAAATGATAAAAAATTTTAACTCTTACAAAAATAAAAATTCAACTATCTGGAATAAATGTCAGTGCACAGTATTATAGATGAGTAAATCATCAAAAGCTAGCATTGCAAGGGCGAGATTTCACTTTTTCTGAAGAAGAAAAGAGAGAGAAATCAATTTTAGGGGAGTAAATAAATACCTACAAAAATAAACTAATTTTATATATAAAGAAAAAAATTAAATTATATACATACACGTTTAAAAACTAACTGGCAAATCTTTCCATTTTAAAACTAACTTTAAACACTTACTCTACTATCAAAATGAATTGCTATTTGTTAAAATAGCCCAAATTAATGTATTCTACACATTTAAAAAGAGTAATTCATATTCTAGTTGCAACTACCTAAGAAAAAGCAATGTGGCATAAATACATGGCATTATTATAAATTCAAAGTGAAGCTTTGAAATTTACTTACCTTTTTAGGCATTTTTTCCCTTTAACTTTGAAAGTTATTGATATGTAAAAACCTATAATCTGAGTCTAAAGATTTTATGGATTCAGTACTCATTAATTATCATTTCCAGTGAAGGAATAAAAGAGATAATTTTAAAATCAGCACTTTTTAAACAAACATGTATAATGCAAACCTTTACAATTGGTTATTATTTAAGATACCACTACTGGTTTGTTGAATTCCCTTATAAAGCTATGAAATGGAAAAGCTTTTGTCCTTTATATGTGACATGTAAGAAATCTACATGAGCTTACTTTTTATTTATAGCACATTTCCCATTTGTTTCTTCCATAAAAATGAATTAGCTCATTATCTTTTTAATCAATTAAATATGGTATCATAGGAATTTCTTTGTGAAATCATCAAACTATATTAATTGGCATAAATGGGAGAGGGGAAGGCCAGTTTAAAAATAAAAAGTTTTGAATCAGTTTTTTAATGAGAGAAGTAGTTATATAATTATTAAGAAACACAGTAGCTAAAACTGAATTAGTAAAGTATTATGTGGAGTCCTTGAGGATGCTTGGGTGATTATTCTAATATACTAGTTCTGAATAAGCGGTGTTGCTAAGGTGTTTGTGGATGCTTAACATACATTTCTAAAATAGTATAAAGAAACTCTGTATCAAACATTTTGTATCATTTAATTCCTTAGTGAACATTAAACCTTCGCCTATTTAAGTAAGCATGGGAATAAGCAGAGACAGAGTCAATGATGTGTTTTGTTCCCTAAGAATCATTAGGTTTAAGCTTTTATAACATCATTAATATCCTCCAAATCTCTCAAGTTCACTTTTTAAAAACTGTTTACTTGAAAAATTCTTACAGTTGGAAATAAAATAGATAACAGGCTAACATTTTTATTATTAGATGTAAAACTTTATATTCTTAACCTTTTTGGGGTTTTCTATTTTAAATTCCTCACATATTTATAAAAGAGAAATGTGCTGAAAGGTGATTATAATTTTACGTATTATGTTATGAAATTTTGGTTGCTCAAGAGAAGAAAGCAGAGTGCCCTGTAATTCAAGCCTGTGATTAACACCGTCAAGGGTAGCATAATGCAATGTTCCTAGGTCTTCTGAACTCCTCCCATTGTCTGCTAGTTTTAAAAAATCTAACCTTCTGTCCTTCACCATTATTGTCTGATGCTGAACACAAAGAGGGGCTTTTACAAAGAAAAATGTTAATGTGTCACTGATTCCTTTTATAAAAGCAAAACATTAAAGTATTTCTGTTTAGTATAAAGGTGGGGAGATAGCAGGTGGGGTGACAACACTCTTCAACATGTTTATATGCAATGTGTGACAATGTAAAAATTATATCCATTGGAGTATAGAGCATTCTTCCTCTTGCTCATCTTCATTAAGCTTCTTGCATTCCTCATTCAATGACACCTGAGGCTGGAAGGCATGCATTTTTCACATGGTCCCTCGGGATGTGCAAGCCTTCAGTGAAATCTGATGTCTATGTCAGCAGTCTGGAGAAAGCATAGACTCAAACTCAGTCTTGGCCCTCCCTTCACATTCTTTCAGACCTATTATTTGTTTAAAAGACTTAGGAGAATTAATTCGGGAATTTAAGCAACCTCATTTTCCACCTATGAGAACTAAATATTAACATGTATCTCTAGTTTCCATCAGATTAGTACCTGATCAACACAGAAGCACTTTCACAGTATGTTCTGATTTTAATTCATCAAGCAATCATCATCTGAGAAATTATGAGGACACTTTACTTTTAAAATATTTAATAGGAGATATAAACAAATACTAAACTCAATGTTTAAAAATGTTCACAATAACTTGTTAAGTGGGTGGGTGATACGGTATAAAGTGTGATCTTCATGTTTAATTTTCTAAAGTGTGATAAAAAACAGTGACTATTTTAAAGCCAACTTACCATACATTGAAAATCCATGGAAAGGGATTACACCTAAAAAAAAAAAAAAGAAAAAAAAGTTTCTTTTCAATTAGTATACCCACTGAGTTATTAGGTAAACTTGAGAGGATTAAACTGAAATAGAAAGGTTTCCTATCTTTGCTTCGTTTGTTCACGAATGTTAGAAAGATTGAGTGATGGTAACCAACAGCAACAAAAATGCTTTTTAATACCTGTATAAAAACAAACTAGAAGTTTTCAAATAAAAAAGTCCAGTTAACTTTCTATTGCTAATGCTGAAAAACTAAAACTTTGAATATGTTACAAAAAGAAGACAAAAACAGAATGAAGCATATCACAGAACTAAGTTTAAGAACAAACTGTAATGGTCTCAGAAAGTCAATAGATTATGTCCTTCCTGAAACAACTTCATCCTGTATATTAGAATCCAATCTGTTAAAAAGATAAGTGGCCGGCTTATACAAACCAGCTGGGTAACCTCAGGAAAGTCACCCATTTCCTGAGTTTTAGTAACTGCTTGTCAAGCACAGGAACTAAGACTGTCTCTGAAATATCATCTAGCTCTAAAATTCTATGTTTAACAATTATGCTTAGAGCAAACACAGGAAAATTTGTGAGATCTAAGGAAAAGTGGACATAGGAGGATCTTCCAGTTTAAGATTCTTCAGCAACTTAAAGGTTTGTTGCTTCTAGAAACTGAAAAAATTCAAAACCAGATTAGGTTCTCATTACAAGTCAACATTCCTAATGTGATAGCCACCAGCTCAAATTCCAAGGAACACTTAGAATGAGGGCCCACGGGACACCTGGGTGGCTCAGGTGGTTAAGAGGCTGCCTTCAGCTCAGGTCATAATCCAGTTCCACATCAGGCTCCTTGCTCAGTGGGAAGCCTGCTTCTCCCTCTGCCTGCTGCTTCCCCTGCTTGTGCACGCTCTCTCTCTCTGACAAATAAATAAAATCTTTAAAAAAAAAGGCTGAGAGCTGAGGGCCCACCCACCATCTTTCTTCAAGTCTTTCTCTCTGCTTATATCTTTGGTTGAGCATCTTTTTTCTTCTTATGAATGACTATCTTTCCCTACCTTCCCTCTCAGCTACTTAATTTTGTTTCTTTTACTAATTATAGGCTTTTAGCAAATAATAAAAAAGTCTGTCTTTTCTAACTTTTCTAATAAAAATAAAATAAAATAAAATAAAAACAAAATAAAACTGTTGATGTCTGAAAATAAACTGAGAGGAAAATGAGTTAATAGTAGACATATTTTGATGCTTTACAGAAATGTAAGTACATATTACATCTTTCTAAATACTACATCTCAAAGCAAATGGATATTATACAAAATCCCTATATTCTTACTGCAAAGACCCTTTTTCTTTCCTCTGTTAAACTACTGCAGCAACATTCGAACAAGCAGGGAAAGGTAGTCAGAAATGGAGGTGGTACTATTATTATTATTTTCATATTCTACAAATAGGTATTAAGGATCTGCTAAGGATAGGAGTACCCTAGTCCAGACAAGATACTTTTTTTTTTTTTTTTTTTTAAAGATTTTATTTATTTATTTGTCAGAGACAGAGGGAGAGAGAGTGAGCAAGCACAGGCAGACAGAGAGGCAGGCAGAGGCAGAGGGAGAAGCAGGCTCCCCGTGGAGCAAGGAGCCCGATGTGGGACTCGATCCCAGGACGCTGGGATCATGACCTGAGCCGAAGGCAGCCGCTTAACCAACTGAGCCACCCAGGCGTCCCCAGACAAGATACTTTTAATTAGGAAGCTTATACTGAGTGAATTCATGAACTGCCAGGCAACAAAAAGGGATGCATATATTAAGACGACTTGTGGCCAATTGCACTTCCCCCACATTTTCCCCAAGTTCTGCAATCTACAGCTGCTTTATAAGCAGTTAGGTTATAAACTCTTTGAGGCAAGGGGCACAATTCATACTGTGTATTTTATCTTCAGCACCCAGCACAGTATCTTCTGGAAATGAGATATAAATTGATGGAAATTTGAGGATTTATAATCAGGTCTTTTAAATAAGATATTAAAATACAACAGAGAACCAAAATAATGGTTGCCAGGGCAAGAGAGTAGGGAGGGGGACAGGCAAATGGGCAAAGGGGAGTCGGGGAAACAGGTTTCCAGTTACGGAATGAGTAAGTTATGGAGACAAAAGGCACAGTATAGGGAATACAGTCAGTGGTACTGAAGTAGTGCTCTACAGTGACAGGCGTCGCTGTACTTGTGGGTGAGCACAGCATAATGTGTAGACCTATCCAATCAGCATGTTGGCCACCTGAAACTAATGTAACATTGTGTGTCAATGATATACAAATAAAAAAATTAAAAAGTGAAAAAACATTAAGGTGTAAGATTCATTTACGAATAAGTAACTAACATGTAGGATAAGATGCTCTCAAAAACTCAGTGTTGAAATTAGAAATGGCCAATGAAGTCATACAGACATGAGTATGAATTCTATGTGACTCCAGGCAAGTTACTGACAGCATCTGAGTCTCTATTTTCAGTTTTGAAAATGGAGATAAACAAGACCAACTTCACCAAGTTGTATAAAGCACATGTGAGTTAATGTCCTTAAAGTGCAAGAGTCCAGTATTTAGGACACAGCAGATGCTCCACAACTGTAGCTATTTTACGCTTTCAGAAGGGACAGCACCACTTTTAAGTATCAGCTTAAATCTAAGAAAATCTTTTTTTGGTGAGTATTAGGTAAGATTAACCAGGGCTTACGATTCCAAAAAAAAAGGGTGCATGGTCTGCTCTGTTGAGGAAGGACAAAGTGAAATTCTGGCCAACAAAAGTAGAAGGCATAAGAAGCAGTGATGAATCCATTAACACTCTCGGGCACGTATCGCCTAAAACATTTCTTTGATCTCAGAGGTTGTCATGTTCTTGGGTCAGTTTTCCAAAATCCTTTCCTTTGCCTCTCATCACTTCAGCCTTTCAAGGGTCAAGTTTCATACACGTGGCCATCATCCAAGAGTGTACTTCTAACAGGCGTCAGGATGCTTGGGACACCATCTCTTCTCTGGCCTTAGAGTTCTGCAAGTCTGCCATAACTGATTATTTTAAGATACTAGGCTTTGTCTATCTAAAGAAAGTCTAAAGTATGAACTGCCTGTCCCATTCAATAGGGAATAACTTTATAAAGTAATGGTTTCAGGGGCATTTGACATAGCTCAGAATGGTAAGCATGGTCAACAAAAATAAGATATAAATAGTAAATATGACTCAGAAAATACACCAAATATTAACATGCTTTGCACTTACTAAATATTTTCTCTTCATTTCCTTACTGTCTCTGTTAATACTCAGCATTTATAGTTGTGTCACAGATCTCACCTCTGACTCAATTTGATATCATTCCAAAGTTTTACACTCCTTCATTTGGGATTACTTAGTACAGTTTATTGAATTCATTTCTGGAAATAAAAATTTCCCTTGGTTATCCTCATTCTACACATAGGCAACAGGTAAAAGTAGGCATTAGGACAATGGTTACATTGTTTTCTAGCTGTTTCTGTCATTTTTCTGAATTAGAACTTCAGAATATGACCTTGTTACTTTATTTCAGTAATTAAAACTTCCCAAATACTGGAACACAACCATATTTAAAGATCAATCTAAAAATCATATTTTAAATACAATTTTCATTAGGTTTTCGATTTATGGCTCAAGTTACACATCAAATAAATTTTGGATTATGAGATGTTTTTATTTAATTCATAAAGATGACAAAGTACATTGCTATTTATAGACTTGACACTTGTAAGGGGATTTTTAAAAAGATCTTATTTATTTGACAGAGACCACAAGCAGGCAGAGAGTTAGGCAGAGAGAGAGAGGGGGAAGCAGGCTTCCCGCCGAGCAGAGAGCCCGATGCAGGGCTCCATCCCAGGCCCCTGAGATCATGACCCAAGCCTAAGGCAGAGGCTCAACCCACTGAGCCACCCAGGCGCCCCAACACTTGTAAGAGGATTTAAAATGACATATTTTCACTATGTCTTCTAAGAGCCTTTCCTAATCTTTGTTTTGAGGGGCTATCCTGTGTACTACAGAATGTTTAACCATATCCCTGGCCTCTACTCCTGAGATACTGGTAAAACCCCTCTTTCCTCTGACTCTGACAACCAAAAATGTCCACAGACATTGGCCAATGTTTCCTGGGGGTTGGAAGGCGGGGCATGGAATTACCCTTGGTTGATAACCACTGATTGAGAGTCCCCAAACTCCTCTGCTTAATGTTCACTAGCAACTAATTATTTTCTCTTTTCTTGTAGGAAACAAATGGTATTAGTGAATTGTAGTGTCTGTTTACCGAAGTCTCAAAAATCTATATGTATTTCTCTTGTTAAGTCTTGTCCCTTTGCTTCTATTTTTGTTCTCCATATTCTTCAATATTCACTCCCTCATTCATTTGCTCTCTCATTCAACGATGTCTACTGAGCAATGAGTGACTTTATGATATGCACGATTCTTGGTGCTAGATATGTTGGTCCTCAAAAGGTCTGTGTTCTCTTGGAGTTTACATTAGAGTGATACTTCTATTCCACACAGTAGGTAGGATGATTTCAGAATTGGAGAAGAGATATCACTGAGAATAGTAGAGTAGGGAACTCCAAAACTCTGTCCTTCTGTAAGGTGATGGCTAGAACTGTTAGATCAGTTTTTTTTGAGTTCTGGAATCAATAATAATAATAAACCTCACAATCAAGGAAATGCTTAAAAAAAGAAAGAGCAGCTGAATTTTGGAAAGAGAGCACTGTGGTATTTTAATTTATCTGTCTATCATCACCCACTGTCCAGTTTGGAGGCAATTGTGAAGATATAGCTCCCCATGTTCCTGAGGCAGTTTGCTGGTCCCAGAGTGGACAATATGGATCTTGAATCAAAAAACTGTGGTTGTGTACCTTGACCTGTCTAGTAGCTACCTGAGGGACTGGGCTGAAGTGGCCTACCCATCATCAAAAGCCTATAAGTGCAATTATACTCGCTACAGCTCCCTGGGGCAGCAAGA